CTCTCTCTCTCTCTCTCTCTCTCTCTCTCTCTCTCTCTCTCTCTCTCTCTCTCTCTTTTTGCGCGCAAGACTCGCGAGAGGAAACTCGCGCACACCTTTGATTAGGATCTCACCACGTAGCGCGATGAGCGGTATCTTTAACACCTCGCCGAGTAACGGGGTATAAGGCGAGACTAATCGCGCCGCTTAATTGACTCGCGCGGCGGGATTGATTTATATGTAATATTATAACGCGATTCAATAGTGTCGGCAATATACAGTTTCCAATCACATTCCCCCTCCTCCCTCGGCCAATGTCGTCGTTTCCGGCCGAGCAATCGTTCCGCGCTTACATTGTGTGTAATGCTCACGATTGATTATCATGTTCGATCATTTTTCCCTCCTTTTTTCTTACGAAACATCGCGCACACGACGAATGATTCGACTTTCTCCGGCTTGACGTGTCGGTTAACGTTCCGAGAAAGTAACGTCGCGCGTGCGGAGGATCTCGCGATCAGAAAATTCGCGCATTATCGTTCTCTCCTTCGCGACAGCGACGGCAGCGGTGGTGGTGTCGGCATGAGCTCGTTTGCATCCGCATTTTCCGACGGAGGGAACGCGCATTTATAATTGAAGCGTTGTGAGCGATCGAAGACGGAGCGCAAAAAACGGGAAAACAGGAAAGAGAGTGAGAAAGAAAGAGAGAGAGAGAGAGAGAGAGAGAGAGAGAGAGAGAGAGAGAGAGAGAGAGAGAGAGGAAGGGAGAGAACAAAAAGGAAAGGATTGAAACGTCATTCGCGGCGAGCGATCATCGAGCTCGCTGGCCCCGCGCCCTCCTGCTCGTCCCTCCCGCGCGATCAGCCAGATCCCGGACAGATAAATTAGCAATTTAATTATAGAACTGTCAGCCGGTAATTAAATTAATAACGAGAAACCTCAAATCCAATCCGCTCCGTCGTAACAACCTTATGCTCGCTCTCTCGAGCAAAGTCCGACTCGAATATCGATGTGCCGCTCCGGCCGCGGATACACGCTACTGCGCGTTCCAAAGGCGCGATTCAATTAAATATTTCATTAAAGTTAAACGGAATCCCGTTTTAACCGTAACGCGCGCCCGCGCGCGCACGAGCTCGTAACACCGCGCGGCGCTTAATCCCATTTTCGGATCGACGGCTCCTTCCCCCGATCGGCCGAACTCCGTGAGAGGATCGAGGACTCGATTCTCCTCGAGGCTCACGGGGATTGCCTCGCGGTGCGTGTGTACCGGTGCATCTTCCGCTGCAGCAACTCCTTACGCCGTTGACCGCGACAGAGAAACAGATAGAGAGCGAGAAGGAGAGAAGACGACGGTGGGAGAAGAGAAAGAGAGAGAGAGGGAGAGAGAGAGAGAGAGAGAGATGTGAAATCGCGGTGCTCGCGTCGAATTCCCATTCGACATACCTACGTATCGTTACATAGCTAATTGCTGCATAAACAGCCGGCTTTACGAGCCACGGGTATACGGCTGACAACCGCTTCGCAAACATTAACTGCCATTAACGAGGATACGAGCACGAACGCGCATCGTGGCTCGCCCGTGTTAGTCGACACATTCAAGTGTGTATGTGCGTGTGTGTGTGTGTGCGCGCGCGCGCGCGCGTGTGTACGTGTAGGTATGTGTATGTGTGTGAACGACCGCGGGCGAAATTGTTAAAAATAATCGGAGAATTAGCGGCGTGATCGGACACCTGGCAAACGCGGACACTTTCGGGGTCGCCTCGTCTATCGTCCGTTCGTGCACTCCTCTCGCGAATAGGACAGCCGGCTGGCTGATCGTCGATTGCGTCGATAGACGACTTGACCCTCCGATTCCCCTTCCTCTGCGACGCGCTCCGAGGGAGAATCCACGGATCCGAATCTGATTGCGCACGTGTTGCGTATTTCTTGTTGCAGGATGTTCGGTAACAGCGGTGTCTGCGCGAGCTGCGGCAACGCGATACCCGCGTCCGAGTTGGTGATGAGAGCCGGCGCGTCGGTGTTTCACCTGAAATGCTTTAACTGCAACAAGTGCGGCAGCCAACTCGTCTCCGGCGACAGGTGAGCGCTCTTTCTTCGTCATTTCCTTTGTTATCACCCTTGCACATCCCCGATAGTAGTCACGTCATTGACCCTTGGACTGTTGAACCAAATGCTCGTAGGCCAAAAATGCTTCTGACGAAAGTTAATGAAATCATAAAAAGGTTACTGTCTGAGAGTATTTTAATCTGAACCTCAGGTAAAATTTCAAAATTCAAAATAGTGCATCCAGTATAGCGGGAAACAAAGATCCAAAAAATCGTTTGATTCATATAAAAGTGAATATTGAAGGCTTCGCGAAGCCACTCTTTTCGAATTCAAAATTAAAAATTTTCATTGAATAAATGACGAATATGGTGGCGAGAAGTTTAAAATAATTAAAATTCCTCAAAATTAATTTTTATGCAAATTGAACCATACTTTAAATTTTTTGTCCATTCATATTGAATTTGTCATTTTAGATTCATGAATTTTTATTTTGAATCTGAAATTACCGGCTTCAAATTCAAAATAAATTCCAATTTCCATCCAATTTTTATTTCAAAATAAATTCTAATTTTATATTTTTATAATTTCAATTTTTAAATTGAATGATATTTTAAATTTCTGACCCGCCATATTGAATCCGTCATTTTGAATTTCACATATGTGACTTCAGATTTTAATTCAACTATCGCAAAAACATAAAAATATAGTATTCTGTTTTAATTGTTCCGATATAAGTATCTTTTTCTGAATGTACGAATATTATTTCCATCATAAGCATTTTTGGACCTTTCATTTCTGCAAATATTTCTGTCGTTGATAATCAAGAAATTAAGACTTTTTTGCTGCCTCGTCGCGACGATTATCTTGATTGATGATGATAGAAACGAAAAAATACATGCTAGACATCTTCGCAAAGTACGTCGCAGGCGCGTCTGCGATTAATTGAGCAGATTTGCGAAATAATAAAAACTCGCCTCTCGTTCCAATAATCAATAAATAAGCTGCGAAAGCAACGTGATATGTGGTCTACTTTTTAACACGTTGATTGCCACGTCGGGCACTGTTGGTCAGGGCTATAATATTGCCGCGTATCACTAATTTATTTATAAAACGTAACCAAATGTGCGTGTAACAAGTTAAATGTATAAGCGATGGAGAGCCAATGAAACGTGCCGACGAATGCATCGCAAATTGTATTTGTTCGCTACATCTTTGGTGAGCCAAACTTGAATTGAGCATTGAAATAATCAGAGAAAATCAGAGGGTAACTCTGAGGAAAATGTACTCTTCGGATAGATTGGAATGGAATCTCACTTAAAAATGAGTGAAAAGTGGCAGTATTTTCACTTGAAGCAATAGTGAAGCCGTGACTCGAAGAATAAATGTCCCACTGAAGCTTAGAGTGAATTCTGACTGACTGAATTCCCGATATAAGTGAATATTTCAATCGTTTAGAGCGAATATGTTCCCATGTAACAACAAAGTACATCACTGTTCAATTTTAAGTAAAAACATTCACTTGACGGTTTAGAGCAGAAAATTAACTTTATATGAGTACAACTAAAAGAAAAATCTTGTGTCTTATTTGATTGTGTATTCATCTATACGTTCAGTTGGAACAATTTTAACAAATTATGCAGTAACCATCCATCCAGGCATGGTAATACCAAATCTCTTTTTCAGTATGACAAATCACTTGAATTCGAGTGATTCGCGCAGTGGTCACTCTGCTCCGCGAGTGCAATTTCATTCCGAGAAGTGTAAAGAGTACTTTATAAGAATTTCAAGCGCGTGTTTTTTCGCTTCTGACGTCATTGAGATGATCACAGCGACACTTAACCACCGGCACGGAGAGAGGAAGCCAAGTATACTAATGTGACACCTTGTGTGTGCATTCGCAATTTCAGGTATTACTTGCTGTCCGGCTCACCGGTGTGCGAATCTGACTGGCACAAGATCGTGAAATCGTCGAGCGTTGCGGCGGCGGCAGCCGCGGCCGCCGGCAACGGCGGCGCGCCCGTTAGGAAAGGTAAGGTAGGTCGGCCTCGAAGAAGCCGTGAATGAGGTGGCAACCCGGTCGGTCGCCCGAAGAAGGTGCAACCCTCTCCGCAGCCGACGCCCGTCGTCGTACCACCTCAGGTAGACGTCGTGGATGTCGCCGTCGGAGTGGACCCCTATTCGCCGCCTCCGCCGGGTCATCAACATTACCACCATCATCATCACCATCACCATCATCAGATGGGGCTTGTGCATCCGAGTCTGGCGGGTCAGCAGCAATCGCATCTGCAGGTGTCCTCCAACTATCAGGAGTGGTCGCCTTGGGCGACCCAAGACACCTGCGATTGAACTCCCTCTCTCTCTGGACCGATTCCAATCGGGATCATAGCGATCGCTATGATAAAGAAGAAGATATGGGTCACCCTGGGAGGATCGCCCGATGTTGGAGAGGAAGAGACAGAGGCTCCCCGCGCGTGTAGCCTCTCCTCCGTGACGTCCACTGTGGACGTCGACAGTTTTCTCTCCGCGACTCGACCCCGTGACATTGCACGTGCTTGAACTTGCCGCGGCAAGCCGACAGCTCGGCCGCCGCGATGTTGAACATGATCGAACTCGAAACTGCATACACCGAAAGCCTCGCGCGCGCGCGCGAGCGCGCCTGGCAACGCCGACGTCGAGTGTGTTACCCGAACTTGGTGTGTGAACGCCGAGAGAATCGCCGCGATTGCTCTTTCTCAAGAGCGTCGACAACTGTCCGGAGTCGCGCGAACAACCCTCAACCTGACGCGCGAACGCGAACTCTACCTTTTTTGATACGGTCGAGGGAATGAGGTATGCACACGTTGAATAATATATCGATGTCACTGCTTGAACCCACAGTCGATTATACAGTCGATTCTGTCTGAATACATGGAGTGAATCTACGATACTTACCGCTACTATATCATCGGGTATTGAATTGGCTGTGAGACTTACGGGAGATTTATCAGAAACCCAGTTGTTAAATCGCCAAATTCCATTTTCGAAGAGATATTCGGTCTCTCCTCAATGTCTGAGAAGGAAAAACGCGGAAATCCCGGATATATTACTCGCGCTGTATCGAGTGTTGAGAGAGGCATGAAAAATTCCAAAGCACATACTGGGTCCAGCATGCTGGACAGGCAGACCCGGACACGCGGACCACACTTTTCCCAATTTTCGAAAACTCGTGCAGCCGGCTGCACGAACGGGTCGCGCGAACAGGTTGAGGGGCAGCATCGCGCGCGCCCCCGAAGCGCACCGCTCCACCCTCGCGGGTTCCGCGAGTCCGAGAATCGTGTGTGACATCATCGTCGTGTATCCGTTCCTCGTAAGAGGAAGGGAGAAAGAACGAGGCAAGAGCAAGGGGAAAACCTTCAACGTGTGTATATCCGCGACAGGTCAGCCTCGCGACGATACTTGACGTCGCGCCGCGCGAGTCCACCGGTTCTCATTAATAATAATCTTTGCTCAATTGTAAAGAATCGAAGAAAGTCTAACGTACAGACCCATTGTGTGCGTGCAACACCGATCAGCCGCCAGTAGTAGACATCGGTTTTCTCTTTCTCTTTAAAGCCCTTCGCCAGCACGTCGCGTCACCGTGTCGCGCCGTGACACCCCGGCGCGTGTTAGGTGTGAATGTATAAATTTCCGTTGAGCAACTCTACTCTCGCCGCGCAAGCACTGCTCTTTTGCCGGCGAGCGGTCTTTCGCGCGCTTGCGAATCGATGTCGAGCCCCGGCTCTCCTTTCGCCAGTCGATTCCCTGAGTCGCTGTTGAATCGTTTTCATTCCAGAGGTATACGTGTGTATCATAACAGTATGTCGTGCCAGCTCGAGAGACCATTCTAATTCGTCGCTCTCGATCATTTCTTTCTGATTTCGCAAGCGCGCACTCGACTCCTCGCCGCCGCCGCCGTCGCCTCGAAGAACAACACGCGTCCTCGCCAAATTCATCCGCAATACGATCGACGAGGATCTAATCGCGCGAAGAAGCAAGTCTGACAGTCGAAAATAGAGAGAAGAAGAAGAGAGAGAGAGAAAAAGTGAGAGAGATAGAAGCTATAACCCAACGGCGATCGAACGAGACACGAAGAGCAGTTCTGTGGACCCTTAGAAAATTATTTTTCTTTCAAAATCATCGCTCCTGTCGATCCGCCGCCGCCGTCGCGCGCGCGCGCGCGCGCGCTCCGTAAACTCATTAGGCGGCCCTTGTTCCCGCCATCGTTAATTGAGTGCCGAGGTGAGACGAACGACACGGAATTATCATTCGAATCCTCCTTGTTAGGCACCCGCATCGCCTCGCTTCGTCGCTTCCCTTCCTCTCTTTCTCGCTCCCTCCTCTCTCTCTCTCACTTTATCTCTCCCTCTCCCTCTTTGCCGTCTCGCTTTATCTCTCCCTGTCTTTCTCTTTTGCGCGCATACTCTCTCTCCTGACAATTCATCGTTTTCAAAGCGGCATAATCAATTGAGCCTGTTGTACAAAACAAAATCTGTTCTTCGCTGCGACTTCGCGGCATCTCGCGCGGACACAGCGCGGATCAGTTTTACCGTAAGTGTATGATCGTGAGTAGATTGCGCTGTGATCGTCGATATGTCGTTTCGCCAAGGAGAGAACGAAGCTCAGTCGTTCACCGATGACGAGGATGTACGTCTTGCCGTCGTTCAAAGAGGTCCACGTCGCGCGTCGATCGTCCAGCGGGTCTGACGCGTTTTCGCGTCAATAACGACGGTCTCCTCGACGCGAAGAACGTCCGAATTCGATCCGCGTGCTCCTACCGCAATGCTACCCGGGAGCAATCGCGCGAACGTTTTACGACACGCCGCGCGCACGCACACGCGTCTTCCGACGGCATAATATATGTAATATTGTATAATAAAATACACGGTGTAATGTTATTTTTACGTGTACACGCGCGTGCGTGCGACGGCAAGAAACAATGATGTCGCGGGACGCGACGCGTTCGAAGCTCAAAGTACAATATACAAAAACGAACAACCACCAGCACCATCCCCCCTCCCCCTTCTGCTCTACAGCGGATTCGCAAAGCGGCAAGGAGCGTTTCAGCGCGAGATGTATTATATGAGAGAGGAAAACGCGACTTGCGTCCTTCAAGCATTTTTCATTCGTCGAAGATACCCTCGTTTTAAATGACATTCTCGTGCGCGTCGTCGATTAAGCGTCGTTCACACATATACACATTCATAACATGCACACGTACACACGCGCGCTCACGCAACACACCCGGTCGGTAAAGTTCAGTCTCGATCGCGGGCGAACTCGCGCGCGCGCGCGCTCTCCTCGCCAAGGGAAGAGGAAAAAGAAGAAGAAAATGTCGATCGTCCCGGTAAACTTTCCGAGCGAGACCGATGCTCAAGAGTCATGTGACGCAACGACTCGATGTTGAGGATTCAAAGCTCCACTCCGCGCACGCGAGAGAGAGAGAGAGAGAGAGAGAGAGAGAGAGAGAGGGAGAGAGAAGGAAAGAATCGCGCTTGCTTTCTCTCTCTGTTTCTTCTTCTTCTTCTTCAATCGCGACGAGAACAATCACTAGTCGGCGCCGAACGACGCCGGCGGATCTCTCTCGGTCGAACGAGCGAACGATCGATCGATCGCAGTCGATCCCCTGGTCTGACATGACCCCGCGGGCAGCAACGCCGGGACAGAGAAAGTGAGAAGGAAGAAAAAGTGATGTGTGTGTACGTATAAATATAAATGTAACAGTCTTATATTTATATCTATGCGCGCGCGTACGGTTCGGACAAGTCGCGCTGACGGATTATGTCAAGGATGCACAAACTTCAACGGCATCGACGTGGACTCTCGACGAACGTGCACAACACTTTCGTCGCGGCACCTCGAGCGCGGCAGATGTGTGAGGGACTAACGGTTCGCGTTCATTTCGATTCATATCGTTACCACGAGACACACATCACACAGACACACACATGTACACATATGCGCGCGCGCACACTCTCTCTAGTAGTCACATGCGCGATCGCAGTTTAACGAACTAAACTGGGGCTCTTCTCGAGCGAAGGACGTCGGCGCACTTTCCGTCTCCTTCGATCTCTCTCTCGTTTTTCCGTCGTCGTGCCGTTGCGCGTAATCGGATCGAACGGTCGGCTCTTAGCAGCCGAGCCTTCGGACCGGAGTTTGTGCATCGTTGCATTGTGTAATTTAATCTTGTATATAGGGTACATTTTGTATATTGTTAAAAATTTGTGTGATATAAATGGTTATGTATTTACTATTGAGCGCGAACGGCGAACCGGGGCTCCTCGCGCGTTCATCCTCCAGCGGGCGAGATCGGGCCGATTGTGAAACGCGCCACGACAGCCAACAACACGCGTGCCGTCGGCCGTGTCCGCTTCGGTACCGGAACCGGCATCGCCGCGAGTGCGTCCTGCAGCGGCGCCGACGATGACGACGATGACAACGACGACGGCGGTCAACATTGGCTTCGACTCCGTTCCACCGCGCCTCACTAATTCCATCGCTTCGCCGAGAATCACTTCTGAATCGCGTCGCGCGAACTTCCGCAAAATTTCGCGTTCCCGCTTCGTCATCGTCATCGTCGTCGTCGGTAGTCTTTCGCTACGACGTGCGCCGATCCCGCGCGGATTTTCTCGCGCGCGGATGCCAGATCAAGCTGTGCCCTGTCTCGCCGAAGCAGGACTCGGCGATTCTGTCCTCCCGTGTCCTCGCAGCAAGCGAAACCATCGGTTCTGGCAGGAGCGGTCCGGAGGAAGCGGAAAGAGAACGAGAGTCGCACGCGTGCGATGCTCCAGTCTGTATGTGTGTGTGCGTGTGTGTGATCTCTCGCGTGGCTGAGAGATCGCGCTGCAGAGTGCGGGGCGCGCACTCCGCGCGACACCCGGGGAAAAAAGGAAAAGTGACGAGCGCGCGAGCACCGCGCGACACGCAACGAGCACGCAAGAGTGAGTCCCCGATGCGGCCGGCCGAAAGTGACACGCGCGCGGCTAGACTCTCGATCCCACCACGCGCGTCTAGTTAATTTTGTTATTTGGTTTATCTCAACTCTTCTCATATTCGGGACCCGACATCTGTATGTGGTTTCGTGGCCTCTTGTAAAATACAATTACACACGCACACATAAGACACACACGTGACACGCATACACACACACAGACACATACATCACCATACGAGAACACATTTATTAATTAATAAAAATCACAAGTTTTTAGAAAAAAGAAAAGATGCGATCGTGTCTGATATATGTCGCTGTGCGTCATTTCTTTTTCCTCTCCCCCCCTCTTCCAACGTCCCATCCAAAGAGAAATTTTCAGAGGTGCGTCGTGTTTTCTGTCGACGGCGCCGCGCGTGCACCGGAAGAAAAAGTTTTGCTGATTTAACAGAAACAGAGACCAGCACCCGCGACAAATGGTTTGTTGATATGGGACAGCAAATGTCCGCCCTCGTGGGAATTTGTGGGAACAAATGATTTGTTACTTTCAATTTGTTGCTCTAAGCTACGCTTCTGTATCGGAGACACAACTGATCCATAACGTAAATAGACGACAAGCGCGACTCGTGTCTCAGGCGATGTTTGTTAAAATGACAAGTGATTTGCAAGCGGTGGCTGTTAGGTCTATTTTCCTAACGATCACGAAGCAGCGAACATGCTTCTGTTCTGATAACCGAGAAATTTTTCTCAGTGCGATGTTGCCCAACGTGAGCGTTCACGCGCGCTCCACGGACGCGCGTTTCAGGGATAAAGCGGACTCGTATGTACCGTATCACATTGTAATGTAGTGTAATCGCTCATCGTGAGCGAGGAGTGCAGTCTGCACATGAAGAAAAGCGAAGCGGCAACCGTTAATTCGACCGTACCGCTGCCGACGACGACGTCGACTTCGCGCGGGAATCGATCCCGCGCCATCGTGACTGCTCCTTACCTCTTACTCTCCGCGAGTGGCTGAATTAATTCGAATGATTCGAATGTTTCGGCCGGTTGTGCGCGAGGCGGAGGCGGAGGCGGAGGTAGAGGCCGGTTTCTCAGACACCGGCTCTCGGACTCGACTCCTCGGCAATGTGCGGACCCCGACATTCTCCAGTCTCGGGGAGAAGGCATTTAACGGATGTACACGTGTCCGACCATATTGCGTTTGTGTCGTTCGATAAATAGGTGGCTAAGCAACTCCAACGGAAACCCGTGTTAATTAACGTTGAGTTTCAGGACTGATTTACGTGGCGTCTAATTAGCGGGCCTGCCGGCGACGTAGTAGGCATTTTGATTGGCCGCACCGCGAATAGAACGCGGCCCGATTGGCCTTGCCGGCGTGTCGTATCGATTGTTTTCGTTTCTTCTTCTTCTCCTCCTCATCTTCTTCCTCCTCCTCCTCCTCCTCCACCTTCACCTCTTCCTCTCAGCCCCCGCCGCTCGGGCTCTTTTTGTTTGTTCTTAAAAACAAAGGCCGAATAGATGCGCCAAAGAGCGCGCCACCGAAACGAGAATGCCGCCGGACTGAGAGACGCGAATCCGATCGCGAACGTAAAAACAGAACGACATACTCGATGCGGTTCTTTTAACGAATTATTTAAATATAAAAGAGAAAGGGAAATATAGATGCAAAGTGGAAGAGAGGAGCGGAAAGAGAAAAAGAGAGAGATTTTTCACGGCCACAATTCGACTATTTCCGAAAATAGCGACGTCCAATTTCTCTCGTTATTCCGCGCGTCGCGATAATTTTTCCTTTTCCGCTTCCCTCCTTCTTTTTTTCCTTCGTGGTTTTTCTCTTTTCGCGCGCGTAAATAGAACTCCAAGACGGTTCGTTACGCGAAAGTGAAAGAAAAGGAAAGCTCCGCGCGCGTGCTAATTAAGCCGCGCGCCCGCGCGCAGCCATCGCGCGTTCTAATCCTTTATTTGCCGGCTGTCTTACGTTTACAAGCGTATCAATTAAATCCCGAAATCAAACAGACGCGTTACCGCGCGCGCGAGCGCGTACACGCTCGTTAATTATGAGCGCGTATCGCTGACGTAATCCATTAACCTCTTTTAGAAGCGACGCGCTCTTCCACCCACTGCCCTCCCTGCCTCCCTCCCCCTCCCCCCCCCTCGGTTCCGGTATCAAGATACAGAGCGTTTTATTATCGCGCGCCATACACACAATGAATAATTACGCGAGCGTTTGTATAAAAGTTTCAGTTCGCGCGCGAGAGGAATTCGTTAGATATTAATTTCGCGGACGCGAGAAGATAATGGGCCCGCGCCGCTCCACGGCAATGCGATCTTGAGCCGCGCGGCGGACGGTATTTCGAAGCGTGTCGGGCCAGTGCGTGTGCGTGTGTGAGTGCAGTTTCTTGAAGTTTTGCGGCAATTAACAGTCGACGGCGAATAACAAACTGAATTTAATTAATTGCATAACTGCGAGCAGGAGCGGTCCCCGCCCGACCCCACCGCCTCCCCCTCCGTCCCTCCCTTTCCACCCTAACCACCCATTCGCCGCTACCCTCCGCTACCCCGCCCCACGGCACTTCTAATCGAAGTGGGTACATATTGTTGCACCCGTTGCGCGCTCTGCCCCTCATCAGCCCCACTGGCAATTAATTATAGCATTCCAGGTTAGCTCGGGAATTAATTACGTCCAGAAGTTGGACGCTGGCGAGGGATCGTTAGAAATCGTCCTTCGTTAGAGTTGGGGCGGGCATGGGTCCAGGTAATTATTGATAGTCCTCTCGCCGGTTCCTCGTCGTGCCGATAACGCGAGCGCCGAAAGGGCGCACGAGCTTTCGCTGGTCTCTCCTCGCTCCCTTACCTCGAGGAGAGAAGGAACGGGATGATATTTGCGATGTTTGAACGATGATTGCGACGAGCACGCGAATTTCACCGTGATAATCGACTCTCTCTCCCTTCCCCGGAAGTCGCGACGCCTGAAAAATTCTCGTTGACGGGACGCTGTTTCACGATCGCGAGGAAGCGGAGAATCGAAGCGCGCGTCGCAGATAATTCTTGACATTTTTTTTCTTCTTTTTCCTGTCGCCCCTTCTCCATCCCTTTTTTCTATTTCTCCTCATTCTTTTTGCGAACAGAACGCGGAGCCAACTGGTCGGCGCGGCGTCTCGGAGGGCTCCGTCTCGCCGATAACACTTGTTCATTCGCTCCTTAATCCCTTCTGCTTGTTAACACCGCGCCACGTCGGGAAACAAAAAGGGATCGTTAGCGCTCGCGGCCCGTTATACGCGCGCCGTAAATATACGGGCATACGCGCATCGAGCAGCGAGCCAGCACCAAGTATTTCGACGGCGTCACCTAACTAACTCGACACACAGAGCGCGGAGTTCGCCGAGTGCTCCGCCGACAATCGGGGACCGCGGACTGGATAATTTCAGAGCGCATCGCGATAGGATCTCCGGCTCTTTTTCATGCGTCTGTGTTCGCTCATTAATTAAGGCGCTTGGTCACTCGCCGCGGAACACTTGATTGGTGACGTCAGAAGCGAGGAAACGCATGCCGAAAATTCCTGCCGAATACGTCGACATCAAAAGATACACCCGAAAAATGACGCTTGCAATCGACTAACGCGAAACCCTTTTGTTTAATCTATATTTCCTCGTTTATTTTATCATATCTATATGATTTTTTTATTGATTGTTAGAACGAAAGGAAAATGTCCGAAGTATTTCAGAGGTGCACTTAATCGAATGGCAAGTATCACCTTCGTTGCATATCTTTATATCTCGAAAATTTCTTTGCAGAAGTTTTGGGTATGCATTTTCCTCGTTTTTCACATTATAAATCAAAATAGCTGCGGCGAGTAACCAGGAGTCTTAAGAACTATTCGGACATCCTTCTCTCTCTCTCTCTCTTGCTTTTGTTAGACAACGATTGACACGTTACCATCGCACGTAAATTCAATGCCGGCGAAGCGTAAGACTGGTTTGCATATTTCCAAATTTTTTCCGAGCGGCATGCGTGACGTATCAGCAGAGAGCAGGAAGAACGAAACGAGTGGAGAAGAAAAGAAAAAAAAAGAAAAAAAAGAAAGGAATGAGAGAGAAGGTAGAAGAAAGGGGAGGGGAGGCGAGAGAGACAGTCGGGAGATCGCGCGAGAGAGGAGATCCGGTTGACACCGGCGAGGCAATTATTATTGTGAGTGGTGTGGCGACGGGACACCGATGATATTTTATTTAAGAAACAATCGGGTAATAGCTCGCTTCAAGAGGATAGATAACGCCCGTGCGGACAGAGACCGCTCGAGGAGGAAAAGTTGCGGCGAGACAGAGAACGAGAACCACGGGGAAAAGGGAATTACAGTGGAGCGCGAGGGGGAGCACGGGGCCCGCGGGGGTGGGAGCAGCAGGGGCTGGCGAGGCAGGAAAGGAGAGCACGGTGAGGGACGACGAGGGTGAAAGACGAGGGGAGGAGGTAAAAGGTGAACTTTGAGGCGGGTTGCTAGTAGCGGGGTGGCTCTACATTAGCGAATTACACGCGCGCTCAGATCTCCCTCGACGGTGAACAATAAATACAGGGTGATCCGGAAATATCGTCGCCCGTCGCGGCTCGATGTGAGTCGCAAAAATTTCGGAGAGTCGGCGCGAGAAGAGAGTGAGTGAGTGAGAAAGGAGAGATAGATAGATAAGTAGAGGGAGAGAGAGAGAGAGAGAGAGAGAGAGAGAGAGAGAGAGAGAGAGATGAATAAATAGAAATAGATAAATAGATAGGTAACTAGAAAGAGAGGAGAGAAGAGGAGGATTTGCGCGAAACGGCGACTCCCGATTTCGAGGTTTCAACTCCTAGACACGCCCGGGGGGATCAATTTTGCCCCCTTCAACTTCTTGTTTAAACACCGTCCGAACCAAAAGGGTACGGCTGCTATTAAAGTACCTTCTAGGGGAGATGACTCGCAATAATAACGATTTCTCTCGAGCGTGTTGATACGAAAAATACACAGATGTGTAATCAGAGATGTATGATTATTAAACTCACCCTCTCGTAGTTGAAGGGGAACCGTACGATCGTAATGATCACAGTCCGCGAGCGGAGGCCGTGTGTGCGATTTAAAAATCCATAAATACGTAATGGCGCTCACAGCGTCCGTCCCGAAAGATTCACGGAGTCGACATCTGACGGCGGCAGACGGTCCGAGCGCGGAATGTGTACGCGGCTGACTTCGCGCTGGCCGCTGACAGTCTCGATCTAACTTAATCTGACCTAACTTGGAGTGATCTAACCTCGAAGGAAAGTCTGTGTACCCGCAGGTGCGTTTACTCCGAGTGGAATTTCGATCTTTTGATAGCTAAGAACTCGAATAAGTGATATCGTATTCACTCTGGGACTGAGGTCTATCTTACGGAAGGGAAAGACTGAAACATGAGCGGGGAGAGAGTGACAGATCGCGATCGCTGCATGCATTTCGTCACACGGAAGAAACGCTACTGCCGGATGACGGTGCGAGCGGGGAAGCGATACTGCGGCGAACATCAGCGGGACGTCAACGACCCTGACGTTGACCAGAGGATGAAGTGTCCGTTGGATCCTACGCAGTAAGTGTGCTCGTGGATTGTGTCCTCGATGAAACGAGACAAACAGGGTTGCCATTTGATTTTGTGCATAAAAGTCGACGGCACGAGGGAGTACAGCGATCTTCTCACGACTAAATTAGCGTATTCCTTTTCAGCACGTGCTACCAGTCGAAGCTGGCGAAGCACTTGACCGTGTGCAACGCCAAGCGCAGAATGGACGCACGGCCCGCGTTCATCGTCGAGGGAGTAAATCTGGACGAGGAGGGCATGGTGGCGCCAGCGCACGTGCCGTTGTCGCGACTCGACGAGTCGGTCGTGGCGGCGGTGATAAAAAAGATCCATTCCGCCTATGGTGAAACTTACCTCCGTGTCTTGGGGAAAAAAGGACCAATGTCCATATCTGCAGTTTCCACTAGTAGAGATCTTAGAATTTAAGGTAACAGTTCCAATTATGGGTCAAACTTGCTTTATCACATTGCAAATCCAAGCTTGTTACTTTTAAACGCATAAACGCGTAAGTAGACTGAAGCACTTTTTACATATTTCTTGTGATTTTAAATTACATCATTTAACACCTCTAAGACATGTAAATTATGATTTAATACATTTAAACGTATTCAGCGGCGTGACTTCAAATAGTAAAAAACATGTAAAAGGAGATTCAATCAAAATAACACATTTGGATTTGCTGTTAGTGTGATATATTCAAAAATTATAATGAAAACACATTGGACAAATGTTTTTATATTTCTTAGTTCTTTTATAATTATATTCTAAAGTTACATTCACAACATTCTTAATATTTAAGAAAAAAATCTAGAACATATCAGTTGCTTTATCAACTCACTGGGAAAAAGATCATGTATAAATCTTGTCTCTGTATGACTGTATGTAATCATGTGTATTTACATATGTTCACAAAAGAAATATTTATACAAATACAGTCAATGTAAATGTTTACACTGCTAGCAACACATAAGCTGTCAATGTTTAATTGAATGAAACTAATCTCTTTTCTTTTACATTCAACACAATTTCTTTTCGTGTGGACATATATAATTATATATATAACTATATATAGAGACAAAATTTATATACAATTTATATATAATTATAGATAATTTTAATAAATTACATGTAATCATTTTTTTCTGGATCTTTAAATTTATGAAACTGCTAGTAGATTGTGCTGCATATATCATTATTTTATATAAGTTAAAACAATATGAATGTAGACATTGTTAGTAAAAAATTGGATATCGCGTAATCTTAAATACAAACGTCGACCCATAATTGGGACTCGCTTATAAAAATGTTTCCAATTATTTTATTATAATTTATCATAATCTAATTTAAAGTCTAATAATTTCGTTTTAAAACTATAATGTTAATTGCTTATTTGTATCAACAAGTCGTTTTAATATTCGATATTTGAACTTTAAATGATCCATAATTAGGACTGTTACCTTATAAATGTTTCAGAATATATACAAACATATATTAATGAATTAATATTCCATTGATACCTCGGTTGTTGTAGCATGAAATTTACAATTGAACTGGAAGAACATTTAGATTTTGAAACATTGATAAATTTTAAAACTTAATTTTCTGTAACTGCAGGATATCTGAAAATGTAAACATTGGTTATTTTTCTTTCAAGATATTTATGTATAATCATAATGTGATCACGCAGTGATCATCTTCTCTTTCTGTATTCTTACATTACATTTTATATAGAAAAGCTGCCAGAGTTCTCTCAAGCAATCCTACAACATGACGTGCTGAAGGACAGATTGAGTGACAAAACCTACGGCAATCGCGTCAGAAAGCACTTGCTCCAAAATTCATCTCTGCTCGGACATTTGGAACAGGCCGGTCTCGTGCAGGACGACACCTGCTTTATCGAATTCGGCGCGGGAAAAGGTATATTCTAATGTAATGCTTAATATTGTAATTAATTAAGTTTGATATATTCCGAATCTTGAGATATTTATAATTGATTTGCACTTTGCCATATGAAATATTCTCGAACACAAAGTAACATTTCATGATTAAAAGTGTCTCGGGCACTAAGCAAAGTCGTACTTTAAACAGCTCAATTAACATACTGGTTGGGCCAGATCATAAAGAGCAAATCGAACTCTTGCGTCTTACTAGTCGATCGTTCTAGTCACCGGCACAAGAACGACAATAAGCTCAAAAGGGAGGAGAGTAACCTCGCGATAAAGAGGGTGCGCGCCGACATCGCTGATTTGCAGTTGAACCAGATCACGGAGATCCAATCCGTCAAACACAAAGTTGGAATTGCAAAACATCTGTGTGGCACAGCCACAGGTATCGTAACTATCCAAATCCTCGATTCCCCTTAAGACTCCTGCTTGCTCACCGCGGGCACCTCAATTTATGATGTTAGAAGCAAGAAAATACACGCTAAAAGTTCTTGCAACATACGTAGAAATAGAAAGATGAATATAAAATGACGCGATCGATCGAACAAGTGTGTAATAAAATATTGTAAATATATCTACTTATTCCAATGTATTATTAATTATTTTACAGGAATTTTTATCGTACATTTTCTCACCTCTGACATCATCAATCGAAAATTCCACGGCGAGGAGCCAGAAGCCTTAAGCTAACGACGGCATTAGGCACAACTAACGACGTGATGTTTACTTGTTTTCAGATTTGGCAATACGCTGTCTGGTGAAATCGATGACCAATGAGCCCTACGTCGATGTTTGCGGCTTAGTCATCGCGTTTTGCTGTCATCATAGATGTGAATACTCGTCTTACGTGGGTCGAGAATACCTACTACAATGCGGTTTCACCGTAAACGAGTTCCCGATTCTGTGCAGTATAGTCAGTTGGGCGACTTGCGGTCCACGCACAAAGAGCGACGCTAAATTGCAACCTAACAAAACGACCAATAGCCAACAACCTTGTGAAGAAGATAACATCATACAGTCTTCAAAATTGAGTGAACACGAACTTATCGGACGTAAAGCGAAGACGCTTTTAAACTGGGGTCGCTTGGTCTACCTACGAAGTATTGGATTTGAAGTTCAGTTATTTTATTATACGTCTACTGATGTCTCGTTGGAAAATATGTGCATTGTGGCTACACGAAAACATTCGATATAAGTGATATGACATGCGATTTATTTCCATTTTTGTTCCTCGACGTATAAATCTTTTTTGTACATGTACGTGTCTATAAGAAAAATATTAAGATGTCTTGTAGACATATTTTTAAAAAAGATATTACAGACACTCAACATTCTTTTAGACACTTCACTGGCCAATATGTGAAAAAAAAAACAATAAACAATTATGTTACGTAATACTTTAATTCTTCTTAATATTATGTTAGCTATTGTCCCATTTTGATGCAGTCATTACCATAAATTTTATTAGAAAAGTTTTGTATTATATTTTTTCATATTAAATATTATATGCTCTGAGTTATTGTTATAGTTATAGTTACATAAAAAGTAATAAAAGCAGAAGTGTCTGGATCTCTCAATTCTTATGTTACATTATTTATTGCCTTCTGCTTCGTCATTTACTTCATTTCTGCAAATTATAGACAATCTATTATATAACTTTACATGAAAAGATTCGAAATTTACTCAGCAATTAATTTTACAAAAATCAAATAGTTAATCTTCATGTGATTTCTCTTATAAGACCCAGTTCCACAACCTCTAGTTAACTGACCGGTTATTCTATTGGATTTGACCAATCGCATTTAGCGTTAAGAAGAGTTAATCAGAATTAACTAATCACTGTTGAGACTTAACCGGTAGTTAAAGTTAAACGGAAGTTGTGGAATTGGGCCAGTTCCACACCTCTAGTTAACTGCCTGGTTATTCCATTGGACTTGACCAATCGCATTTGACATTAAGAAGAGTTAATCAGGATTAACCAATCACTATTGGGACTTAACTAGTAGTTAAAGTTAAACGGATGTGTGGAACTTGGCCTAAGTGTAAGAAAACATGAGGATAGCACAGAGCAGAACTACAAAATCCACTATCAATTACCTACTGAGAAAAATCGTGGATATTGACTACGTAGTTCATGTTTAATGAACGTAGAGGGCGCTTCAAACTGAAGTAACTGCCAGGTCGATCATGGCGCCATCTACTTTGGTGCAACGCTACTGCACTGGTGCACAAAATCAGTCTAAAGGAACGAGTCGCGGCAGTATACGAGTCACGAATAACTTTCCCCCCACTGAACGGGATGCCCCGCCCATGAGTGATCTAACGCCGATCAAACATTCCAACGGCACGGATGCGGAGGTGTAGTCGGATGTTTCGTTTCTCCGGGTTGCAACGTGTCTAGAGAGACAGTGAAAGCTTATCGTTATATTAATATAATCGCAATTGTCAATCGAGAGCCCGCGTACAACGAAGGGAACAAACGCTGCAAAGGTACGTTCAACTATTATGTTATGCAAGCGCGAATAAAACCCGTCAATTCGGCCGGGATACACGCGTGCTTTGTGACCTATTTCAATCACACCTGTATGCGTCGGACGAACTGACGAACGTAACCTTGTGTAATGCGCGATAACGATAATTACGTTTGCGTCGATTGTTACTTGAACTCGTCAGTTGGCCTGCAAATTATGCTATGTGGCGACGCGCCACGCCTGAAACCGTTCGTGCGCGCGCGCGCGCATTACGATGCCGAGTGACGTTTTCGTTTACTATAGCACTGAATGAACTTCCTTATTTCTCCTTTTCAGAAGCGAGAGAAAAAGAGAGAAAGAGAGTGTTAACGTTGTGACATGTCCATTCTAGACGAGCGCGACGAGTACCTGAAGAATCCGTACTTCAAGGAACACGAGTACGGCGACTACACACCGTTCTATGCTACGGTGGCCTTCTGTGCCGTTCTGGGCGGCTTCCTGTTTATCCTGAACATCGTGTTCTGCTGGTGCTCGCGGCACCGGGAATACTGGCAGGATCGCAATACTGGTTAGTTTCTAAATCGCTGTTGAATTTTGGCTCACAGTTAGACATTTGTTTTCCAAGAGTGTGTCCTGAAATGTGCTTACAATATTGAAAAATTATAGTACATGTGCAGCAAATATCAGATTAGGTATCGATTAATTAAATAAGTATTAGAGACAACTAACTTTGTCTTAATGTGTTTTGTTCGGTCAAGTTCTTATTTTTACTTTTCAAGTAAATTCACATTAATTCTAACATTTTTCATTATAAATATTAAACTAGGCATTGTAGATTAACTAAACAGGTATCAGATTTAACAAAATTTGGCATATCTTGTCCAAATAGATTAAATTCTAATCTTCAATTTTCTAGTCAAATCATATTTAATTCTTTAGTTGTACAAATTTTTAGAGTAGGTATTGGAGATTAATTAAACAGATATCAGAATCATTAACTTTATCTTAATATATTTTGTTTCGATAAGTTATTTTAATCTTCAATTTTCTAATCTATTCTCTAATTCTTCAGTTATAATCTTCAGTTCTCAACACCTAGTCTGATAAAAGTTTTGTGGGAATTATGGAGTTTCATTATCCCCACACAGCAGAGGTGTCCAAAATATATCATAGGGATATCCTAAAGATATATTTGGGATATGTGATATCTTCAAGATATCCCTATAATGTATTTGGGACATTCTTGTTATGTGGGTCATGAGCATATTTCGAAATGTAGCCAAAGTACAATTGCGACTGAATGGTGTTTTTTGTCATAAAACAAGAACTTTCTTGTATCATTAAAACACGAATTATTCTTCTAATAAAACTGTACTGTCGTGATTTAGGCAATAGGTGGATTCAGCCAATGTGGACTGTATTACCACATAAGACGCCACCTCTTGATCTGAGTGAGCTGGAGCCCGGACGCATCAAGTATCCTCTAGTGAGGCACGAGATCATCCAATATCACGATCCGGAATCCCACGGCATCTCGCCACATCCGCAAGAGTACCTGGAGATGCAGAAACGCGAAAGTGAGATCTGAAAAATATAATCGGCGACCAATTGACCATCGTGGTATCGGAAAACGTTCGAGTGACACCCGTGCTTCAGTAGTCCGTCCAAAGTGGCGAGCTTAATCGAGTACAATAGAACCTAATTAGCTCTCAGCACGCAGCTAATCGCGCCAGGGCTGTGACGTAAGGCCACTCGCCGCTGAGTCTCTCATTACCGAGTCATCGTTTTAAACGGCCCTGCTAAATATAATTTTATTCTTTCACAGCTCTGTCGAGAAAAATAACGGTCTCTTTTCGAATTACTGCAGCAAAAGTGTAGTCACTCAGCGAAGCTCTTTTGTTCAACGGTCGCACCGATTTTCAGTAGCGAACAGTCTGATAAAGTAATCCCGTAGAGAGACAGTACTAATAACTACGTCACGATGGGGTTACACGTTTTCTGGCCCGCGACCGCTTGCCTGACGCTGTTCGTGGTTTGCATAATAATACTGATGCTGAAGTATGGCGCGCGAGCTTGCAAGCTGCGACACGAGCCATTACCTTCTGACCAAGAATGGGAGGGTAAAGCGTACTCCCGAAAGCTGTCCATCTCTATGGCGTAAGAGTCATGTATCGGCCGCGAACTGTCCCGAAAAAAAGACGCATCTAGATCGTACAATGTCTCTCTTCTAGGAAACAAATACATGATCGATGAGGAGATTGCTGATTATAGAATTTTCGCCGATATAGTTTACAAAATCTTCTAAAATTTGTACAATTATACAATTGTAATCTCTTCTGGGACATACGCATTCGCAACTCATAAGCCTATATTCTGAATCCTCTTTTATCGATAAAAGTACCTTAAATGTAGCTCAGTCAATCAGGCTGCTCCTAAACCCCTTTTAGAGACTCATTTATCGTTAAAAGAGAACTCAGAATGTGGGCCATAGTATATATTGTATAGACACAGATTAGTCATGTAAGACAAATGATCTGACATTCCGTCCATTTATATATTTGTACTAATGTTTTATATTACATAAAAAGACGTATACGTATAGACGGCTTCTTCGGAAATCAGTGTAATGATTGTTTGAAAATTTTTACATAATCAAAACTAATCGTTTGTAAGATGCCTTTGAGAAAAATCTCTATATCCGTCCATGTATTTCGCATGTGTTCTTTTATATTATCTAATATATATATATATATATATATATACTCCTGTTTTCGAAATGATGTATGTGATCTTATAAACAGAGCACTTTTGTAACTTTTGTACCAATATGTTCTTCTCGAATAAAAATGTTATAAAAAAAGGATCTCTGGGTGATTGCGCCGATTTCGAAGTAACAAACGATATAGTTATGAACGGAATATCACACCTGTAACATATATATGTATACGTGTGTATATATATTTATATATGTATATATATAATGTTTTACTTTTATTGACAACATTGGATTTTTGTTACATGTGTAATGGTTACACAATTACTTCAATAAGTAAGTAGATGCGTTATACTATTCTTTAATAGTAGTTTGTAAAGAAAATCGCTGATTTCATCGAGCTACAATACATCAAATCCAGGAACTATCCTAAACTACGCGGTCCGAGCGAGAGAACCGGAGGTGTCTTATTAAAAGAGAGGAGACAGCCTCCTCGTACGTCGATCGGCAGTCGCGATTGGTTGCAACAAATCGATACCTCTCCGAAGAATGTACAATCGAGTTTGTTCGATTTTCCCGCATGAATGAAAATGTCGCGTAACGAAGAAACCCACGACCCGACGACGGACGTCGGATGACGCGCCGGCGAAACGGACGAAAAAGAGAGGACGACTGCTCTGATAATTCCTCTAAAAGTTGCACTAACGAGATTTAAAAGCGTCAACAAGATCGACGATCATGAAACTTAACGGTCCGTGGCGAAACGCGTGGCGATTCCGCGCGCTCCAGTTGTTTCAATTGTAACGAATAGAATTCTGCACGATTCTCTTATTGTAATATCTAGAATATCTATCGGACTGTCTCGAAAGGTGTGCGTGCAAACAGCAGAAGACGATCCTAGACGATATTCGCAGAGGGATCCTCAGAGGAAAAAGGTGAATGATTCTTCTTTCAAATGAACACAAATTGGTTTTTCTTTCAAATGGACACAGATTTTTATTTTATTATTATTATTATATATATATATATATATATATATATATATATATATATATATATATATA